TCTGGTCTCAGCTGTTGTTAAAGCAACAGAAGATGTCCCCAGTTAGCAAAGATGTGTGCAGGAGCATGTACAAAGCCTGCCAGCCTGTAAGCCTCTGGGCCTTGAGCCAAAGTAATGGAAAGCATCAGAAACAGTGTGGTTTCATGTGACTGTGACTGTGACTTTTGGATTCAAATCAATGCAAGGTTCAGAGGCTGCCAAGCAGTATGAAATGAGACTAATCTCAGAGACAGAACAAAGATGTTTTATGTAACTTCATACAGATTTGAGGAGAAAGAACAGAGGGCTGCTGAGTTTCACAGATGGTACCTCAGTCCACATAACATCTGCCCTTAAATCTTTGCAAATATAAGGAGAACGATAAAGGTACTTAGACAAAACCAGTCATTTCTCTCAAACACCTGGAGAAAGAGCATGAAAATGAAATATTCTAGCCTAAGTCAGTCCCTTAGACACGGTCAGATGACACTGAAGTGGCTTAGCCAGCAGGCAAGAAGCACTGGAGAATATGGGGTGAGTCAGGCTAAAGGCTATGGATAAACCCTCCAATGTTAAACTGTTGACAGGGCAGGAGGTGTAATGACAACAGGATTATGAAAGACTTAGTCAAGTTGCTGACATTTGAATAACCAGCTTTAAATCCTGAATGACCAGAGTCCACCTGATGTTAATGGGGAAGGACTCAGGAAAAGCACATGCTAAATGTCGAACAGCAGGGGATGAAAGCCAGAGCTGTAGCATGATGCTAAGCAAGGAGGCCAAGGAGAAGTGAAACCATAGTTTGCTACAACAAGCCTTTATGTCACCTTCTATCCCATGAATTATGCTAGAAAGTGAGTAAGAGTCTCTTCTAGAATAAAAGTTGTTCAAACCACAGAAAACCAAATCGGATGTTGCACTTTTTTAAGAAAATAAGAAGTCTAAGGAAGTCTGACCAAATAGCAGACAGAAATGACACTGTTTCCTGTTCCTGTCAGCAGTAAGTGTGGCTGAGACTGTGCTCTTGGCAAAAGATGCTCACCCTCTGCCAGAGCCACTGCTTCTTCTGCACAATGCTGTGCTGGCCACCTCTGTTGGTGTCATGGGATAAGCAGTGTGGCTCGGCAGGAGACTGATGTGGGTGATGTGCCTGTGAGCAGCTGCAATTGCACTGGTGTTCACACTCCTTGAGTGCTTTGTTCCCATGGCTGAAGGCAATGGATAAAATTCCTGATATTTCAGAACAGTCACTTAATGATGGTACCCGGAAGAAAATGGTGTTCAGCTTTAATATGTGTTACCAGTCTGTGCATCACTCATGCTGTTATGCTGTCACCTTGAAATCTTGCCTGGTCATATGTCTAGTAGAGAGATCTCTGCAGTCTGCAGGTATCCAGAGCTGTCCCACTAGGAATAAATTGTGTTCTATCTGACAGCTCTCGCCTGGCCAGCAGTGCTTTCACATGCTGGCAGGCACTCCCTCACTGCCTTCACAGCCTGAGGACAGACCTGCACTATCACCCCTGCTGGGAGAGGCCCAGTGGGCTGGAAGCCTAAGCTCCTGAGACAGTGGAATCACGGAGGAAAGATTATTACTCAGTGTGACAAAATGTTAGTATTAATACTGTCTTGTATTGTCTAAATGTGACAATATATCTGCTGCTACAGGATGCCAAATGAAAACGTGCACGGGCTGGTGTTGCAACCTATCATCATCCATGTTCACCTGCCATTCCAGGGAATGTGAAACTACACCCTGCTTTTACTCACTGAGCCAGGACACCTGAGGAACAAAGGTGCTCTAGGTCAATGGCTCAAATTCCACCCTCCACTCTCCTGAGCAAGTAAGAGAGTGTTGTTAGTGTCTGTCCATAACAGACTGTCACAGGATATATGTTGCACTCTTCTTTCACCCTGAATATCTGTAGAGAGTACCAAGTGTCATCTTAGGGGAGAAATGGATTCTTGCTACTTTCCAAAAGGAATTTCATGGTAAAAGAGCAAAACTGCTTAGTCCTTGTAAAACTCTGGTGCAGGATAAGTATGTAAGTGATACATAGGTTGGTTTCTGTTTTTGCTGCTGGCTGAATGTGGGTTGTTGGGTACTTCACACCCCTGGGCTTATGTTGGCACTAAAATCCCTTTTATCTGCCTTAATCCCTTGATGGGGTTTCTCTCTCTTGACTACATGCATTTTGTCTGGGCACCTACCCCACCTTAGTCCATGAGGGTCAGTCCACAGGCAAATGAAAGACACAGTCATCTCCAGATCTTAACGATATGTACATAGTGAGTCACTTTGTGGAGGTTTCATCTTCTCACAAGCTATAGAAAATGTTGAGCTGAGTACTTTGGACTCTATTCTGCAAACCTGAAGTTTGGGCAAATAACAACCATGTTTGGAGCACCAGGGCTGCCTGTTCTCACATATTTGGACAGTATCCACATATTTGGACAATGGCAATGTGGTCCAGCAGGGAGGCTGCAGACATCAAAAATGGATGCAATTATGGGGAATAAACATGGGAATATATGCTCTGAAGAGGAAGCTTTCCTCACAGCACTGCTGTGAAAAATAGGCAGAACAGAAAGGAACTAATTCTGTTTCACATTATTGCTCTCCATAAATCATCACTTGGTGGCAAGCTCAACTGGTCCACCAAAGGGCCAATTAAAGCAAAAGGTGGCTGAGCTCTGTTTATACTCACGGCTGTGTTTTATACTACAGGAACTGTAATTTGTTCCAAGAGGGTGGCATCTCTTCCCTTTCCAAGCAGAGATGATTTTCCATGTCTTACTCTGAGCATCGTTCCTTCAGTACACTCATGGTGCACTGCTGGGCATCTTCTCCAGCACAGTATTTTACAGCCCAGCGTGAGACATGATGGTGCAGGTGAATGCTGGTTAGCAGAAAAGTCACAGAATCATTTAGGCTGGAAAAAATTTACAAGATCAAGTCCAACTACCTATCAAGCACTGCCAAGTCCACCACTAAACCATGTCTCTGAGCACTGCATCAATACGTCTTTTAAATATCCCATGGGATGGTGACACCACCACTTCCCTGGGCAGCCTGTTCCAATGCTTGACAACACTCTCCATGAAGAAATTTTTCTCAGTATCTAATATAAACCACTACTGCTGCAGCCTGAGGCCATTTTCTCTTGCATGACTGCTTGTTGCAAAGACCGCCTCTTCATCTGGTTGCAACCTCCATTCAGGTGATTGAAAAGAGCAATAAGGTCCCTCCTGAGCCTCTTTTTCTRCAGGCTTAACAACCTCAGCTCCCTCAGCTGCTCCTTGTTATAAACACATATTACAGTTTGCTTTCACAAATATTAAGATGAGTGCTATGCGTACAATGTTGACTTTTTTGCATAACTGGCTTAGTTATGCAGACACAGTGGTAAAATCATCACTGATGGGTTTGTTTTTCTTTTGTAACTCAGATATAGTTATAGAATGCTTGTGGTTAAACTGAAGTGTTATGGATTGTGACTTAAACATTTCCATAAAAGATATTTTTCATATTATATCAAAACTATACAAAAGCTGCAAAGAAAGTCACCAAAACCCCTGCATGAGGCCCTGGCGGCAGTGGTCCTTAAAGATAAGAAGCATTACACAAACATTACATTCACAAAGAGATCACGATGCTTAGCACCTTCGGGTGGGGTGGCCATCGCCCCAGGACTACCAGCTGCCAGGCCAGCACAGATTCTGACAGCAAAAGGGTGGGGGTGGAAGGAACAGAGGCTTTGGGATGTGTAGTGAAAAGTCTCTAGTCAAGAGAGCTTGTGGAACACCCAAAGAAACCTAGCTGATGGGATCCCCCAACCTTCAGACAACCATATCTTGCCAATGGGCAGGCCAGGGGTGTCGTGACCCATTAGGGGCCCCTGCTACAGACACTACTCCATCAACAAGGACCATCTGCTGAAATTGCAGAATAGGGGTCACACACACACCACCCCAGGGGCATAAACATCATCACTGCTCATGCTCTAGAAAGGCAGATCCATGTTAAACAGTTCCTGGAAAAGTTTGGATATGCATAAATGCCTATGAATAAGCATCAGTCTGATGCAATACAAAATGTATTTAAAGATGTCTCCTGTCAATAGCAGGCGTGCCTCTGGCAGATCACCAAACACCTGGTGTCATATCCTTTTGCTTTTATGTCATTTATTAAAACCGTTTTAATTTTAACAGGAGAGTTAACCTCGTTTTTCACATCCTCATAAGAGTTGTACTTCAGAGCCTTCACCACTGGACAGATGAATAAGGTCATGAAACCTGGAAATCTGTCACAAGTATGTATTTTAAAATCACATGTTACAATGCACATAGAGCTCCTTCAGTGTGTGGCCCATTAGAATCCCTCCTCAGGGTAACATTTTCTAACACTTTTCCTGTGTATGCCCAGGATGTGTCCTGCTCTGAGTCCTCCCTACTAGCTTTGCCCGCCCAGCCCTTGCCCTGCACCCAGACCCCTGCCAGCAGAGCAGCCACGGCCATCTCTTGGCCCTACTGTCCCTCCCATATGACATCCAACGGGGACAACACCTGCCTACCAAGGCAGCCCTGCTGCAGGTCAGGCCAGGCTGCTCTCCTGCCGGTGATAACCAGCAGGCTCACAGTGAAGTTGACACCCGCTGTGGGCTCTGGTTCCTCTTTCAAGGCTCAGTCGATACCTCGAAGTCATCGTTGGCCCGTGCTAGGTGGAAGCGGTGCCAGGGCCGTGCAGGCTCCTCCCTGCCCGGCGGGCACCCAGGAGGACAGGGCAGCTCCTGGCCGCTCCCGCTCCTCTCCAGGATGTTGGGGACCGGTCGCCTTCCCTCCCTGTTTGCTTTCAGGGTGTTTGTCTCACCACACAGTCCTTTCCATCCCCTTTTCCTTCACAAGGCACGTGAGGTATTTTTGCTCCCCACTCTTTTCCCTCCTGTTCTCCCCCTCATTTTGTCCCCACCACCAGCTAAGCCCTATCTGTCTGGGCTCTCTCTGGCAGACGGGAGGCAGTCATGCCCTACCTGTACTGGGACTCGAAGCCGCGGCCGCCGGCGCATCCCGGGGCTGCCCGTGGCACCCACAGCTCGGGGAAGGCCTACGAGGAGCTGAAGCAGGAGTGCCTGCACAGTGGCGTCCTCTTTGAGGACTCCAACTTCCCCGCCTGCAACTCCTCTCTCTTCTTCAGTGAAAACCCACCCATTCCCTTCGTCTGGAAGGGGCCTGGGGTGAGTATGCTGTTGTGTTAGTTCCTCCCATCCTGCCAAAAGTCAGGCACTGCTGTGCTTCAGGAGTTATCAGGGAGATGTGAAATGCGGGGGTAAACCCTTCCCACTTCAGAAGCAGTGGCACAGAATTGGGATGCTGCTAACAAAGAGCTCAAGCTGCAGAATGAGACAGCTGGAAGGCTTCAGCCCATGTTTCAGGTGTAGCTCATTGTACAGACACACTTATCCAGGTGTATTTATGTGCATGTATGAAGACCTCATAATCAGCTTTTCTCTTACATTATTACCCAACAAAAGATAAAAATAAGAGGGCATGCAAGAAATTAAGGGCAAATACATTATGATAATGCTCTAACTTCGTAAAATTGAGTGTTGTTAATATAGGAAATTCGTAATTCAGATTAAACTTAAAATATTCAAACCTTTTAACTTTTAGAGTGTAAGAGTCCTATACTTACTTGCTTACTTCCATCAGGATAACTCAGAGCGGTTACAAATGCATGCCTTGGTTACTGAGCCATTCAGCAGTAGCCAAGGGCTCAGTGAGTATCTCTTAATGCATCTTGAGTAACAGTCATTAATAACACAGTGAGATCCTGAAGCAGCACTAGTCACATGCTGTCAGATCACAAACCCAGCATCACTACAGGTTCCTTCTCCCCCACTTCACTCTGTAACTAGCAACCACAGAAAATTTGTGGCAACGTTTCATTTCTTTGCTAATGACTGATGTTTATTCCCTTTTTTTTTTCCCCTGAACGCTTCTTTCTTGGTAGAAAACTTTTCTTTGCTAATACTGATACCAAGGGAGAAAAAGAACAAAATAAGCTTAAAGAAGGGTTCAAATTATCTTAATCCACAGTGATAGGCATTCAGTGTCTTAGCATCTTGTAGTTAACATAGTGCTGCTACAGAGCAGAATTAAAGCTGTTAGTCCTGGACAAGTTTCAGTTATGAAAAAAAATTGGAGACCCCTACACTTGGTAAGTGCAGCCCCCACAGGCACTGCTGCCTACCTGTGCTCCAAAAGTCAGGTGGCCTGTGGGGCTGCCCCCTAGCACAGTAGAGGGCTGCAAGGCTGAGATGCTTCGGGTGTGGTGACTCTAGAGTTCTGTGGGGCATCAAAAATGCAAGTGCCTGTGACACTTAATCATAAAGAACGGTTTTCCTTTGACCAGCTGTTAGCTAGCTTGTCTTTTTAAGGCTTCACAATAATTAAAATTTGGTGTGAAATGTGACCAGGAGTGGCTGAGAGCTTGTGTGTATGGTACACAGGGGCAGTGGAGAATGGTCTGTCTTCTTCAGGGTCTTTGCATGCTGAACTGGAAACATTTCCAGGATGAGTAAATTACCTCAAATGGCATCTGCCTTTACACTCCAATTCCCCCCATGCACTTTTGTGAGCTGCACAGTGAGAAGTAGGGGGAGGCTGAGAGGATGTGTAAGGACAGAGTATTAGTTCTGCTCTGCTCTGCTCTGGCTCCTCAGCATTTAAGCTGAATCAGTTTCATCTCTGTCATCCATCAGGAGCAGCAGCACAATAGAGACGCTCTAACAATTTAAATTTAACACATTTTACTTTTCAAGGTGAACCTGGGCCTGGAGTATGTGCCAGGTGAGTTGCCACAGCTCACCTGACAAAGCTGTGGTGCTGGAGAGGGTGAGCACAAAAACACGGCCTCTGAGGAGGTTGTCTGCACTCAAACTGCTTTTCATGGTGGCTGGTTTTTACTGCCTCTCCCACCAGCATTTTACAGTAGACTGGATGAAGTGTAGCACAATACAGACAGGTAATTGCAGGGACAAATAATGAAAATCTTCTAATTTACAATCTGTTAGAGTTTAATCTTTAGAAATGAGAGTAAAGAAGGCTTTCTCATTACTCTGACAGACATACATCTGCATATATGCATGTTTGTAGCAGCATGATCAAGACCTTCAAATAGCACTAATCTGTAAATCTCCCCCTGCAATCAGTGAGCTACACAGATCTGCCTGGCTTTCTAGTAACTGAAGTTCTCCAAGATTCAGATTTAGCAATCCTTTTTAATTACAAATTAAACCTTTGAAACTGTCTTTTATCAAAATTTTAGAACAATTTGAAGAACAGAAGACTCTTCTCTCATTTTATTTCCCCCTTTCTCTTCCCTTTCCTTCTTTGCTTCTTGCTTCCTAAAAATATGCAAATTCAGCTGCTGGGATAAATTCAACAGCTCAGTGTTTGGGAAGTTTAGACATATAAATTGAAAAATGAGGAAAAAAACAACACAAAAAAAGACGAACAGGTTTTACATTGTCAAATGATTCAGTGGTCTACAGGAGGAAGTGAGAAATATTCCTGATATGAACAGCCACAGGCAACCAGTATGACAGGTTGGGAGCAGGCAAAAAAAATGTAATCACAGAAACCACCTGGACAGCCTCACCCCCAACCTGTGTTAGGTCTCTGTGCACCCCCTCTACCAGTGTGAGACAGGCACAGGGGTGCAATTTGTTTTCTTTTGCGTTTAAAGAAACACAGCTTTAATGAAGAATCGGGAGAGTCATGGGTCACTGTGTTTCATCTCTCTGTAGACTGCACGTTCCTACTGCTAGGCAATATCCTTGTACAGGTGAATCCTTGATTTACTGCATGCTGGGTGTGAATGCTGGGTTTTGTCCTTTAACATACTGAAAGTCCTGATACATTATTACACCATCTGAAACTCCTTTTAAAATGAAAATTATTTTTGCAACACCCACTCAAAACCTGTACAGTGTGTTTTCTTTTCTGTAGTAAACAATGTGGTACAAGTCCAGTCAACATCCCAACAATTCCTTTTTTTTGTTTTGCTCCTTTGCTTCAGGTATAGGAGGTTGAAAACATTTTTCCATATGTCAGTTGCAGAGATGTGTAATGAACAATGAGTTATGAATCCAATGTTCAGAACCCATGTCAGTGGTAAGGTTTTTTTATCTTGTCCCTTTCTAACACACGGGGTTTCTTGGTAACAGCTCTAAATGCATTACATGCAATGAGAATTATGTCTCCTAGGAGTGATGGTGTTAAAACAGAGTGTGTAGTTGAAGATCAGCTACTTTATCAGCCATTGCTGTCTCAGTGTCTGAAGGCAACGAGCTGTGGTTTTATTGTTCATGCCCAGCCCCAACACAACTCAATGTATTTAACAAGCAGGCAGGCCAGGTAAGGAGGAGCTACTGTTTGATTTCCCTTTGCTCCACACTCTGGGGACATGGTTCTGCTTCCTCCTCCCAAGAGCACCTGTGTCTGCAACACAACCTGGCCAGCACCTCCTCCCCAGCAAAGGCAAGCAAAAAATATGCAAACCAGTTTTCTCTTGATTGTTGCCTCTGCAGGGTAAGCGCAGCAGGAGCAGTGCTGGCTCACTGAGGGGAGTGCCCTGGCTCCAGCAGGGGCCAGCAGCAGATGCTTCAGCAATATGTGCGGGAAGCCAAAAAAACTATCAATATTCTGCCCTATGGTCTGAGAAAATGCAGTGAGATGAACTGAAAACAGTTCGATTTCATTTAGACAAATGCAGTGATTAAATGACTGAATATGTTCTTCTATTCCCCCCATCATTAACTTGTTTCATTTGCCATTTGGGCAGAAGGATCTGCTTCATGCCACAGCAGTCTGATTAACTACAGGCATACTCCTGCAGTAATATACTAGATATTCTCATCTTCTCTCTTCTATTCAGTTCAATCCATTACATTCAATACACAGTTCATGGGAAAATGTAGAGAAGTTCCTGCCACATTTATTGGTTTATCACTGCAATTTTTCTGTTCAGCTGTGGTGCTAGTAATTGAACTAAAACAGTAAAATGAATGTGGGCGAATTGCTTTTATGTCACCATGAGCTCCAGTCCCTCTGAGCTCTGAGCACACAAGGGTGGGTAGTATCAGCTCCTCCTAAAAATTAGCAAGGCTGAAGTCTGTTGTTAGCTTATTTGAGGAGGAAATTGTCTCATGGTGGTCCGACTCTGTATGTTTCAGGTATTACATCCAAGTAAATAAAAGGCTTAATAGTCCAGTTAAAAGTAAATTGCCATTTTTATTTTTTTCCTGCCAATGGAGGAAAGCAAGCAAACAAAAAGCCCTGTTAACCAGAGCTGTAGCCTGGTCAATCTTCTGGATGAATTTGTGCGATGATATTATAACAATTGCCTACAGATGAATAAAGAATGCCAGCCTTTCATTAGCAGCCAGCTAATTATGAAAAAATGAGGATGGTTGACTCTTTAATTGCTTTACACTGTAATTAATTAGCAAGGACTCCCCATCTCATTCTTTGTGGTGGCTACACTGCTGCAGGATAATATAGCTCATGTGGCACACAGGTTTTGTCAGCACTGGTGCAAGTCTGGTTTAGAGTGATGATGATATTTTCCTGGCGCATTCTAAGTAATTTTTCTATCTCACTGTTGCAGGACATTGTCAAAGACCCCAAGTTTATCCTTGGAGGAACTGCCAGAACTGACATTTGCCAAGGGGATCTTGGTGAGGGGTACTGTGAGCCCAGGGGTGTCTTCTGTCTACACCTCCAGGCTGAAGACCGACTGCCCTGGACAGTCAGGGACACCCTTTCTGGGCACATGTGGACTGTCTTTTGGATTTCAGGGGAGGTGGCAGCTAACTGTCATAACATCTTCTCTGACCCCTTCTCCTCAACTTGAAGGGAAGAAAGTTAGGGGTTTTTTTCCCACTCTAAATCCACAGGTGACTGCTGGCTATTAGCAGCCATAGCTTCTCTCACACTGAATGAAAAAACACTAGCAAGAGTGGTGCCATTGGATCAAAATTTTGGGCCAGATTATGCTGGAATATTTCACTTCCAGGTAAGGTGAACATCTGGCACAGCATGAACACATCTCTGTCATTACATTTCATTTTGCAATGAGGTCTGTTTTGCATTGAGGTTGCCAGATACTGCAGAGGAGACACTGAAAAAAATACAGATTGCTGGGTTTACACAGTTTTTCATGTTTTGAGAAACAACCAAATGGCTACTTCAGCCTCATACAAGGCACAAACACAGCCACTCCTGTTCTGTGAACAGATACATGCCTTTAGAAATCATTTCACGTTTTCCTGGGCACGGGAAAAACCTCACTTAGGATATAAGTCTGTGAAGGGATTGAACTGGGATCTGTAATATGTGTGTATCTTAGAGGAGCCTTGAATCATGTGGTGAATACATTGAGTGACATTATCCAGACAACGAGCTACAGTTTGGGTCTGCACATTTAGTCTTACTGTTTCTTGAGATAGATTAACCTTCCCACAGAGCAGTCTTGCACAGTAGAGCAGGAGCAGATGATTGACATGTCTTCTAATCAAGCTTACGATTGTCACCAGCTTACAATTAGGAACATTGGGACACCAGAATCCTATACTCAGGAAATGCCATGCTGCCAGCAAACTCATGCCCCATCCTTTCTAAACAGTTTTGGCAGCACAAACGCATGGCTGGGTGTCGTGATTGGTGACCGATTACCCACCTTCAAGGGCCGGCTGGTTTTCTTGTGCTCAGCTGAACTCAATGAATTTTGGAGTGCTTTACTAGAGAAGGCCTATGCCAAGAAAGTCCCTCTGCACATACATAATTTGTCACTTGTACATACATTATTCACAATTTGTACACATGTTATTCACAATTTGTACACATGTTATTCACAATTCCAATGTGCAACTTCTAGCATTTGCTGCTGCCCTTGCCAACCTGACAACTGGCACTAAAGAAAGAAAAGCCCCAGGCTTTAAGGACATGGAGAAATGGATTAATTAAAAATACACATAAAAAAGGAAAGCAGAATGCCCCCATACTCCTGCTTGGGTACACTCTGGGGTGCTTATTTTGACTTCAGTGTCACTGCTGCAATTCTACATATATGCGAGAAAGCTCTCAAACATGGATATCTTGAAAGCAATTCYCACAGTCAGCATGTGTTTTGTAGGTTGAATGGCAGCTACGAGTCTCTGAAGGGTGGCACTACAATAGAGGCCATGGAGGATTTCACTGGGAGTATAGGAGAAATGTATGATGTTAAGGCGGCTCCTGACAATTTCTATGAAATCCTAGAAAAAGCCCTGAAAAGAAGCTCAGTGGTGGGCTGCTCTATTGATGTAAGTAAGAAATCGGGTCTCAATTCTCAGTGTCCTCAACTTTGGGGTTCAATGTTTTCTAGTTTGTGTTTCACTTTCTCACCTGATGAAACTTTGCTGCTTGCAAAGAGTAGTTGAATTTTTATTGAAGCAGCCAGTGTGATACTCAGCTGGCTGATGGACCCTTCATCACCATCTCTGTCCATCAAAGCCATTTTACAAAGAATGAGACCATATCAATACCTGATCTCAGTCTGAGAGTTAAGATTGGGATCCCAGAAATGTAGATGCTGCTGAAACAAAATCACAGGGGCAGAGGAGGAATTCCACCCTGGAGCCACCTCATTTTTACTCTGACTGAACAATGCTTAAAAACTCCTATATTGCTTCCTAAAAGGGTACCATTGCACCATTACCATCTGAGCAAGTTCCCTGTTTGTAGTACAGATTAGCCAGTGGTTAGCTGGCTGCTTGGAAGGGAAGCACCATTTATGATCTCACTCTGAAGAGAGATTCATTCCCATTTCTTTCCCCTATTCCAGACCACCAGTGCTGCCGAGTCAGAAGCCAGAACCCCCTCTGGCCTTGTAAAGGGCCATGCTTACTCTGACTGGCATTGAGGAGGTACGTTCAGTAGTTTGGGACAGGAGGGGACCTGGGGAAAAGAAAGGGAGTGGCCCCTCAGTCTCAGGTGACAGAGGAAGTTATACCGGGGAAGTTTTCCAAATTCACATCCACCTTTCCCTCCCACATCTCCTATGGCAGTCTGCACCTTTTGCATAGATGTTAACATCAAGGCTCTGCACACTGTAGAAGCTTTTCTCCCAAGATCATGATGGTTGATATTTTCCCTATTTGTTCTCCCCCAGGTGAGCTATAAAGGCCAGCAAGTGCAGCTCATAAGGATAAGGAACCCCGGGGACAGGTGGAGTTGAACGGCCCTTGGAGTGACAAGTGGGTGCCCTGTCCTGTCCACACTGGCCTCACAAAGGCCAAATCCCAGCTTCTGCTGCACAGCTAGCTTCCTGCAGTCCCAGCCACTCCACAGGAAAAAGAAACCAAGACTTTGCACATGCCTAACAGTATTACTGCCATACAACATCTCTCCCTCAGCATGTTCAAAGTAGCGCAGTGTGGGGAAACTGTCAAGGTTATTGAGCCCCAAAAACCTAGCATTAGCGAAAATAATGTTTTATTATAAATAAGTTAATTTTAATACACTCCAAATTGTAAAAATCACACATTAAGAGTGACTTTATTTTGCTAAATTTTTGTGAGCCTGTTGCTGTAGTGCTTGTAACACAACATCCATACTTTGTCCTACTACTGATACACTGAAGCCAATACAGTATTACTCCCTCTAAACAACTAGTGTCTCTCTATGTTTATTATTTGGGGTTTCTAAACACATCAGGAATAATCTATTAATAATAATACATGACCATGAAAATGAAAATTATTAATAATAATACATGACCATACTCCATATGGCACCTGCCAAAGTTGCGGAAGGACCCAAAAACACAGCAGGATTGGTCTGAAAACCAATCTGGGTTTACTACCAAAGGCAAAAAGAGTGAAGTGCAAACAAATCAAAATTTTAAAAATGTATAGTAAAAAACTAACACTATATTCCTCTCCAAGATACACTTTCTAATATATTTTTTGCACATGTGGATGGTTTCAGTTTTGTTTCACTTTTTTCTATTGAGGTTTTCTTTTTTATTCACACAGATGCTGAGGAGAGGAACCCTAACCTGCCTGGCCCTTTAAATTGCTGAAATATGTAATCATCTACAGGAATACTTTAAATGTCCTTAGCATGACTCAGAAATAAATGTGTCGATTTCAGCTTAGATCCTTTGTTAACTTGAAGAAAAGTATGGATGATTGACATGCATAATGAGTGCTTAAATCTGAAAAACAGAGATGATGATCAGGACAGGTGTCTGACAGTTTGTGCTGTTAATTGAAAAGGCTGTCTTTGCAAAGCAGAGATCTGACTCTGCACTTGGGAGCCTTTCTGGAGCTCAGGATGTAAAGGGCCTTGCAGGTCATCCTTGCAGTGGATGCTGGAATTAAAAACCTCAACACAAGGTGCCTGCTATTCCATAAGTTTATTATGTCAAATTGGAAATGTGGTAGGGCACTTCCAGGTTTTCTGGAATTTTTATTATGTCAAATTGGAAATGTGGTAGGGCACTTCCAGGTTTTCTGGAGTTTTTCGGATTTTTATTTGGTTTTGATATGCCACAGCTGGGATTGAAGGGGTGAGTGAAAAGGAGGCAAAGACTTTACCTGGGGTCCCTGTTACTCCATCAAATCTCTGTGCAGGGGAATCTGTCTATTCAGTTTCCATTGACTCAATTTTGAAAAAACATCTGGCCCTAAATTAGCAACAAGCCTGAAAGAGAAGATGGTGCTTCAGATGGAATACAAATGTAGGGAGAGGGTTGACTTACCAACATCCTGATGTTTGCCAACAGCCCTGTTAAACCAACCTGAGTGCAGTCCCAACTTCAGCAACTCACGTTAAGACCAGTCTGGAGCAACTCTGGGATCTTTGACCTGGTGCAACTTTCAACTACATTAACTGGGTGTCTGTGACCGTGAGTGTCAGCAGGAGCAGGAAGCCTCTTAAACACATCTCTGTTTGTGTAAGCTGCACAGATAAAACACATGTGGAATAACAGCCTGCTGTTATATCCAGCCAGTCATTCTGAGCCAGGGAAAATTAATTGCCACATACCTATAGTAAAACTTGGTTTTGTTTTTCTGTAGCTCTCCCGAGTGGTGCTCAGTCAGCCGATCAGAGCAGAGACACCTGTCTTGGGCAGCACGGGATGATGGAGAGTTCTGGTAAGCCACAGGTTCTTTATGTGTGTGACTCTGATCAGAAATCAAGGTGCAAGTGGCTGAAACAAGCAACGAAGAAGGAGCCTCTGTGTGAGGAAATTCTCCGTTTCTGCATAAGAGAGGGCAGGTAGAATGCTCACTTCTTCTGTGTTTCATGTGTGCCCACATCTATTTCAATAACAAAAGCCTTCTGAAATCAGTTTAGTTAATGGCATTGATATATTTCAAATACTGTGTGTCTCTCAGGAATGTAACACCCTTGAGATCCTTSCCATGAACACAGACAGGATATACAGGAGGGAACGTTGTATGGCAGCGTATCAACTGTGAAATGCCTTCAGGGTTGATGCTAGGTATGCACTGGAAGAGAAAGGAGTCTTGAGAAGCAATACTACTAGTTGCATAAAGTAGAAGAACTCCAAGATATGCGTTAACGTTGTGAAAATCTGAAGAAAAGATGAAATAATTAAATGAAACTAAGTGAAACAGGAAGAAAAAAAGAAACCAGAATGGTGGAAATTGCTTTAGAAGTGCAAAGTGTTCTTCATGCCGAATTTATGATCTGAGACAGAGCAGATGGCTGACTTGCACATGATCCCCCCCACCAACCATGCTGTGCACTACTGACAATGTGTCTGGTCACATTTTCTAGGGCCAGATGCTCAGCTCTTAACAGAGGTAAATTTAACAAGGTTTGCAATGGAGCTATTCCAGATTTTGCCTGCAAGTTAAACCAACTTCAGGTCAGAAAAGTTATTTGAGATAAACAATGCAGGACATTAAGTCAAACAAGATGATTTATCCAAAATTTTGATAACTGGTGAGAAGAAGGTCTGGTGGCTGTTCCATTACTGTATTTTTACATAGTATATTTTGAGTTATTTTGCTATTGACATTGCAAACACATTAGGGCGTTTCCAGTTTCTTTCTTCTTTTGTGTTTGTTTGGGTTTTGAGTTTGGTGGGTTTTTTGTGTGTTATTGACCTGGCTACAGCTGGAGCTTATGTAGTGAGTGTAAAGGAGACAAAGACTGTACATCTTTGCCAAGTGACTCCAGAAAGTCTCTCAATACAGGGCAGAACTTAAAGCCTGAACATGTGATGGAGGTAAAAGTGTGCAAGTAGGCATCAAATGAACAGTGAAATTAATGAAAAAAATCCTTTTTTTAGTCCCTTTTGTTACTTGGACTTGTGAGAACTGAAGAAAATCTGCATGGCACCATGCTCAGGGTCTTCTGACTTCATGAACTACCCCAAAGATATTTTGTCTTTGTATTGGCAGCTCAGATTGGTCTTGTCCAGGGGCTTCTAATAGATGCAAAGGGATATCCTACTGTTGGCTAAGAAATCAGCTTCTCACCCAACCTAGTCCCTTCTCTCCTAAAATCAGACGGTCAGTGTCTTCCCTTCATAAGTACCAACCCAGAATATCTCTAGGGAAATCAGAACAGGTATTTTACCTCTTAGAAGTCAAATGTAATCAGTAAAGTGCAACCCCTTCCTCTGCAGCATATTTCCAAAGAGGCCAAAACTGCCCAGTGTGTCCAGGAAACCAAGACATTTAGAGACAGATTTTGCTATTCTGTCCCTGCTTTAGTGTAGTGAGCATCAGAGTGAGAATTAGCAGTGCCTAGGGCTAGCAATATACAGGAATAGCTGACAAGAAAGGACAGAGCTCAGCAAAGAAAGACCTCCTGTTTCTTTCCACACCAAAACCAAGTTGTAAAATGGCCCACAGCAAGTGTAAATTAATACCAMTACAGACGTCTATTTGTTACAAGGAAGAAAAATCAAACTAGCTCTGTTCGATGAGGCACAGTGGGGGCTAGCCAGGTCCTATCTGCCACTACCACAGAAAAACTTGTGTCTTTGAGGGCTTTTGCTCTCCTGCTACTCCATTTTTTTTTTAGGCATCAGCCACAGGAGTAAAGGAATAGCTATAGAAGCTTGTGTTAGGGAGGAGATCAATTTCTGTGTGTTATTTCTATGATCCAAGTAGAGAGGGGGCTGTTGCAGACAGCAATTCAGAGCAGAGAACGTATCTGAATGCCAAATTGTCCTCACAAAGGCCTAATACTTCTGCTCTTTTACAGAGAGAAGTTCAGCCTACAAAGCCTGTCCTCAGCCTTAGAGCACATGGACCTTCTGTCCTTGTGGTACACACCATGCAGGCTGCTGTCCCTGAGCTCCTGTGCACTGTTTGCTTTTGCTCAGGACTCCACCCAATGTCCAGTGGTACCTGACTCTGGCTGTCCCTTCTCTTGGCTGTTTGCTTAGTCCATAACTGGACTCCTTGGCCAATGGGACTGTTGGTATTTTTTGCCTTTGTGCTTGCTAGGTAAAATCTCCTGGTGCGTCTGCTTCTCCATATGCTGAGCAGGATAGTTGCAACCAGCCCAGCCTAGAAGCTCAAAACTACCTCAAAATTGTGGCATTTGCTTCCTCCTTTTCATTGCCATGTATGTGTCTCTACCTTGGGCATAAAATATATGCAGTACAGTCTGTGGGGCACAGAAGCAGGCAGCAGTGTCCATGCTACCTTCAAGGGCAGGTTGGAGACATTTCTCAAGTCCAAACATGCTTTATCTCTCACGTTTGGTGTATGTTTTTGCTGGGACAAGGTGCCAGGCACCCATAAGTGAGGGGAGGATGAACATCTTGAGCCCAGGAACCTTAGCAGAGACCCAAATGTTAATTTAATTGCGGTGCAGGCAGGTAATCATACTGGGGCTTGACTACATGCGTCCCCGGTAGTGCTATCATTGGGGCTGGCAGTGAACACACAGATGATCTGTGTGAAGACCTAGCTCCTGGTCATGCCTGGCAACTCTTTGGTTGGGTATTGGGCAATACAGATGCAGCCATTAAGTCCAGGATAGTGTTGGTGAAATAAATCTTTCCACTGTAGGTTTTGTGCCAATATCACTTCCATTTTGTCTTATAGTCAATTGTAACTGAATAAAAGAAAGGTGCAAGAGATGTCAGAATGAGATGCAGACAAAAAGGATGCTTTTGCTTTACATCACAGAGAATGAAAGCTAATTTCTCTCTAGCTGTACACTGACATGTATACGTGTTCACCAAAACTACTCTGCTTGAGCTGGTGATTTGGCCCTGGGACTCGGTAAAATAAACACTTCTGCTGCGCATCCTTCACTGAAATGAATGACTGCTTGTTCCTTACCACGTCTTTCACTTAGGATGAAATTTGAAGACTTCCAAGTGTATTTTGACAAAGTTGAGATCTGCAACCTGACTCCAGATGCCCTGGAAGACAGCACTGCCCACAAATGGGAAGTGACCTTTCACCAGGGAATTTGGGTTCGGGGATCCACTGCAGGAGGATGCAGAAATTTTCTAGGTAAGTACATGTGAGTTTGAAAATGAGAAGCTGGCACTGAAGTCTTTACCCACTCAGCTATAGCTCTTCAGAGAGGAGCTCTGTAGCCAGAACTGGGTGCAGGACCGTTCAGCTGACAGGAACCAGGCAAGGGGACCGAAGAGGAAACTCAGATCATGGACTTTAAGAGTGCTGTACTTTTTACGGATAAAACCATTCTGTGATTGGCTTTTTTGAATGAGCAAGTGAGCAATGAGCAAAGGGATAAATGTCAATATGGTCCCGCTTAAGATATTGTGGTAAGAGTTATTTTTTCTGCTCTCAAGTTCATTGGATCTAATTTACCTCTTAATGACATTTGCAGGAGCAGGACTAGGTTCATATAAACCCATTAAATTGCAGCAGCAAGTGTAAAATGAGACAAAAAGCCCAGCTCAGCCGACATGCTTATGTGTCTCTGAAGCTGTATCATGGATCCAAACTGGGTTACTGTGGACTTGCACCAGCACTATGGGATCATTGTAGCTCTGTACTTTTAACAAAATCCCATCTGACAGCTTTATTTAAAACACAGTAACTTAATAAGGTACCAGGCCTAAAATCTTTTCTACACCTAGTTCCATGAAGGACTTTGGGATTTGGCTTATTTTTTGCAAAGCTTGGTGGAAAGAAGTATGACAAGTAATGGAAACACTAAGTTTGAGCGAAACCTCAGCTTAACTGTCTTTTCTGGTTTGGTTTTTTTTGGTGGTTTTTTTTTTTTTTTTTTCCTAGTAGTAGCAGTTGTTTATTATTCTGAGTCAAGAAAGTCTCTGGTGTTCTTTACATTGGCAGAGACTTTCTGGACAAACCCATAAATCAAGCTATAGTTGACAGAGAAGGACGATGGACAAGATGACTGCACAATCACAGCAGCACTGATGCAGAAGGGACACCGCAAACTCAAGAAGCTTGGTGCTGAAATGTTGACCATTGGCTACTCTATTTATGAGATACTCCACTGCTTCTGCACAGGAGCTGCACTATTGGCATTTGGAACTTGCTCTGGGTTTGTATCCCTGCCGGTCATCATGTGTTTTTAAGGCCCTTGCTCTTAAAATAATCTTCTCAGTTACATTAGGCCTYGTGGAGGATGGAGTCCTCTCAGAGGAGAATTCAGGAGTCCCCACAGGGCCATGGGTTCCTAGGACAGACCCCTCAGCCCCATAATTCTGTCACCCCTTCCCTGGCTCACAGAGAGGGAATGTTGCTTCTTGGGAGTGTCTTGGAGCACATCACACACAGGGGTGTCGGTCCCCAAGTGAGGCTGAGGTTGGCGAATCTGTTGTCACTGCTCTGTGACACCCAACTTAGGATGGTGGTGTCAGGGAGTGCTTAAGTAGGAAGACAATGTCCCAGAGTCTTCTGAGATTGCCTTCTGCCTGGGAAAGGGCACTGGTAATGGGGTTTTGCCATTAGGTGTGAGCTAAACTACTGTAAGCACTTAGGTGAGGGAATGACAGTCAGGATCACAGCCTGGGTGGAATTTGCTCTGGGATTAGGAAAGGGGTGAGTGTGGCCTTTAGCAAACCCCAGCCAGTGCAGCACTGCTGTTTTTCCCCTACTTAGAGCCCCGGCAGAGACGGACACTTGGGCAAAGACTTTTTCAGGTACCACCCCTCCAAGGCCACAAGCAAATCCTACATCAATTTAAGGGAAGTATCCCTCCGATTCAAGCTGCCACCTGGTGATTATGTTTGTATTCCAACCACGTTTGAGCCACACCAGGAGGCAGATTTCTGCCTGAGGATCTTCTCTGAGAAGAAGGCCATCACTGAGTAAGTCAGCTGTGAGCTTTGGGCCCTCCTCCCAGTGCCCCCCTTCACATGGGTTTGTTGGCTGCTGGAGTGAGTGCGGCTGCCAGGCACCTAGCCCTACAACAAAGTCCTGGCATGGCAAGCTTCTGATTGTTTGTTTTTTTTTTTTTTTTGCGTTTGCCCATTTTTGCTAAACCTGAATTTTTTTTTGAGAGGAGTTGAGAAGGTGGGGGAATAGGGTGAGTCATGGTGATTCTGCTGGAAGCTTGACCAGGAAGAATTGCTAGCTGTCTGGTACTATTTGGGACTCTGAATACAGCAGTGTTTGCTTCCTGTTGGTTTTCTCCCAAAGTTTGTCCAAAGGACAATTTTATGTTAAAAAAGGTTGTTGAGGAAAAAATATGTTCGCAACGAGTAATGAATAAAGAATGAGATGAATTCTTTAGCAGGCGACATGCACAGCTGTGTCCTTCCTGAGTCCTGCCTAATGTCTGTTTTAAGGACCAAACTTAAAACAGTGCAAAAGTCTGATTGTTTGATGAATTTTAGTTAAACATAACCTGTTAAGTAAAAAAAAACCATTTTATCATTCAGCTGGGGAAATGTAATAAGCAAGCTTCCACCCCAAGCAGATGTTGACTACCTTCAGATACCAAGTAAAGTTTTGTTTTCTCCAGAGATCTAGATGAAAACGTTGCCATTGATCTCCCTGAGGTAAGTCTACAGAGTTTAAACAGCAAGAAAATAGTTCTGCAGAAGCCAGCACATGTTGCTTTTACTGTCTTTGGCTAAAACACGTACATTTTTAGGAATGTTACACAATTGCCAGCTTTGTGTATGTCACTGAAACGCTAAGCTCTGCTGGATGTGGTAAAAGCTGTAACAAATAAAAGTCATAATTGTTAGGCCTCTGCATCCAGCCAGCACTAGAGGTGGGTGTCAGCCATCACGTATGCTGTGAAAGCACCACCCCTCAGCACTGGGGAGCCACGTGGCTGTTCACATCTTTTAATATTTTATTTATTGAGAAAAAATGAGCAAGAGAATTTCTACACACCTACACTAATTTTACATACAAGTATCTTTATTTTACTTCTCAGTATCCGCAGGGCTTGGGAGGGAATGTTTGCACATGCACATGCCTACTGAAGTGATTGAATTCTTTTTGCTTTTGAATGGCTTAGTCTGCCTGCTGAGCACTAATTGCAGCTGGTTCTGAGTTAGTTCCTGTTTAAGTGTATCCCTGCAAAGAAGCCATTAATTGTGGTGTGCCTTTCCATGGAAACAAGCTAAGCCAAGATCTCATTTGTCCCTCTTTAGTAACACTCTTCTCTGGGGACCAGCTAACAAGGGCATCTTCATTTCTGGGATCTCAGGGCTGTGTTCTGTAGCAAAATTAATCTGTGCTGAATAATATGCATTAGTGCAGCCACCTCTGGCTGGTGCTCTCCAGAAGGGCCAGAGGTCCCAGGATGATGCCTGGAGAGAGCTCAATAGAGCTGCGGCTGTTCAAAGGCCAGGGAAACAGAATGGCGAAGGGTGGGATGAAAGGAGAGGTGTTTTCCAGGATGGATGCTCTTGGTTTTGTCCAAGGCAATGGCACACTACACACTCGCCCAGGTGAAGGAAATGACGGGGGGAGACTCCCCTCGGGGGGATGGGTGGCTAGGAAGCCTCAGATCTGGCAAAGTTCAGGAGCATGTGTACGCTGATTTTAAGATGTACAACGGTGCCTGGTGCACAGAGGGGCTATTTTAAGGAGAGGTGTCATGTTTTACAATTCTTACAAGGACTTAYGTTGCAGCCTCTACACCCAACCCCAAGCCAAGAAGAAACTGAAGCAGAAAAGCAATTTCGGGCACTGTTTGAGCAGATTTCAGGAAAGGTGAGTGCAAAACTCTTGTGAATCAGAGCAAGATGTGAAAAGAAGGAAAACACTTCTGCTCCAACCCAGGACTAGGTGAAAAAAACCCAAAACCTCCCGTATTTTGGGAGTATGTTTAGTTGTGGTGTGTTGTTTGGCCAGCAGATGTCACCATACCTTATGGCTGGATGGATGAGGGTGCCGTCCCTGGTGAGCAAGCAGGTGGACCAAAGCTAGAGCTCAAGCTCTGAGGGAGCCTACCTGGTTTAATATTCAGCTGCAGCTGTTTTATCTTTGAATCAACAGCACCTTCTTGGAATCTCCTTCAGACTGACTTACGCAGAGCAGCACTCCAGCTCTTTAGTTTTTAGCCTTTTCTGGGTTTTGTATAGTTCTAATTTCCTGAGTTGCAATAAAGTATGGATGGATGATGTTTGTGTTTTCTGAGGTTTTTGGTATGTCTGATTACAGAAACATTCGAGTAACAGATGCTCCACTTTTTTTTTTCTTCAGGACATGGAGATATCTGCAGAAGAACTTGCGTATGTTCTGAACGCTGTATTAAAAATATGTAAGTGCTGATAACTTCTAAGGGTGTATAGAACTTTATAAAAGCTGCCATTAAATTCACTTATATACATAAAATTAAAGGCTGTCTTACAGCCCCTACCTGGTGTCCTTGAGCCAGTCAGGGCAGAGCTAGGGAAGCATTTGATCCATGATCTAACCACAAGCTTGCCCTGCTTTCTGCATGACCCATGTCAGCTCAATGAAGCTGGCTCTCTGTTGCACTGCTACTCTGCTGTGGAGAGACAGGCTCTGGGCTGTGAGTTTTAAGACCTGGATGTAGCTCATGACCCTGCTACAGGCCCTTTGTACAGAGGCAAACCTGTCACTCTGAACTTCATCTCCCGATTTACAAAGCAAGAACAGTATTTCCAGTCATGTCTTCAGTAAATGCAGCTTCTGTCTGGATTGAGACTTCTCTGTAGTGAGATCTGCCTTCATCTTCCAGTGCATAGATACTCTCACAATGACGACTTACAGTCAGCTATCTCTGTTCACAAATCCTATTTTCTACCTTCAGGTTATAAAAGACAGCTTTGCCCAATGATTTCTTTCCTATTATTGTTCTTTTCCAGCAAAGAACATAAAATTCAAGAACTTAAGTCTCATTTCATGCCAAAATATAATTTCTCTTATGGATGTATCCTTTCAAATAAGTGCTTGTGAGGCTAAATGAAAAATAAATATGATTGTCCATAACAGTATATGTTGTGGATGTCAGAGATGGATTTGGTGACATCATGGCAGAACACAACCCAAAGGAAACAACATACATGACTGGTTTATCCTGATTTTTATTTTTGAAATTTAGGATTAGGAGTTTCATGACAAACTGTTTTCTGTTGCGGACTTACAGGCAGATATATTAGTGCTGAGCACCTTTAGAAGTAAATCTCAAGGTATTTCTGTATAGGACTGCATTTTTCAAGCTGTGGCTTATTTTGAAGAGACCTAGGAGACATAACTCAATAAAAGCCTGCTGTCTGGAGAGCTAAATTCACCAGACAGAGTTGTACATGCAAGTTATGGGTCAGAAATTAAGGATCAGCAGTGGTGTAAATTGCTGATACCAAAGCTCTGTGTTTTTTTGATAATCAGTTTAAAAACCAGAAAATCTGGTCTTTCAGCTGCTTCCTGGAACTCCAGGAAACAGACATGTGGGCAAGAGTTGTCTGTCCAAATTTAGGCATTTGTGGTGTAGGCATCTACATCTAAGCTAGCTTTCTAGACTTCCTTTATAGACATCAAAAGGGATGGTGTGATTAATTGTTCTGGATGTACCTAGCTAAAGGACACTAAACGACAGCTCAGACATCAGGTGAGATGAATAATAGTCCTGGTACTTCCCTACCATGTTTGTCCTGTGCAGATTTTCTAGTTCCTGTCAAGTTTGCTTAGTGTGGCTTCTCCTCAGATAGAGCTGTTTTTCCAGCATGGTTTCCCAATAAACGGTTTTGTTACGCATGAGACAAAACAGCCCTACCAAGGCAAGTATCTAATGTTTCGTTTATGTCTTGCTTGTTCAGCTGAGATATTCTTGTCTTTTGCTTTTGTTACTCCAATCCTCTCAAATATTTCCAATAGAAAATCAAAACAGGTAAAATGGTGTCCTATTAAAGCTAGCTTTGTAATATTAAAATTCAATGCGGATTAGTCATCCTGCACGTGCAACGAGCAACAGGACAAATCCTAAATTTCATCTTTAAAAACCAAAACCTCAGTAGGGAGCTGGTCCATGTTCATGTCCCATCCTTACAYGGTATTGGCACAGAGCCAGGGCCTGCACTTGACCCTGGAGCATGGCAGCAGTTCTAGGTTTACTATTTAGGATACAAATAAATAGTTTCCATGATTTGCAATTCTTCCAAGCAAATCTCTGCATAGTTTTCAATAAATGGGGAGACATATTTTCCTCTGCTTTGGAAGCACAAGGAATGCAGACACAACCATCCCACACTGGACATGCTATTTGGAGCACAATGGAGGAGCAAAACCATAAAAATGCAAACTCAAGTCAATGCTGGCATATTCTCCTCTGAGTCACATGCTACCAATTTCCCTGGCAACAGTCACCATGTGGTGGTGAGGAGCAGGGACAGAGTTCTACATGACCCTGGGAAGAAGAACCTGGCTGGGTGAAAAAATTCTTTGCAGAAGGGAGAATGCCCTTGGAATCTGTGGGTGCCCTCAATATTGTCAGCAGAGTAGGTGCTCAAATAACAGCAGGCATTAGCTAGACCCCATCTGGCATGTTTTTGACATTTGTGAATGCTCGCTGAGCCTGTGTCTATCTGATCAAGAACTCTGTCCTGGCAAGATGGAAAAGGGAAGGGGAATGGGACCATCCCTTATTTACCATTTCAGAACATTACTTCATGCTGGAAGTAAGCTGTGCTTACTGAGGGGCGTCAGTAACTCAGTGAAATAAGTCCCTCACTTCAGGCAAAAGGAAGGCCAGGCAGATTGAATCGTTGCCTCCTAGAACTGCTATACAGGCATTTATTTCAGACCAGACAAGGACCAGATTTTTCCAGTCTCATCCCACTACTCCCATTAATTTTCAGTTGAGCTATTACAAGAGAGCCTGGTCTCTAGATCAAAATACTGAATAACACATTGGTTGACTAAATCCTTTGGGTACAGTAGCAATTTGTTTTAATCAGGTAATTTAATTCTCTGAATCATTTATATCCCATTTACACCCGAAACTGTTCCTGTCTTAGACAAGTCTTTCTTCCTCATGTGAAGCCTGAATTGCTCAGCTGTGTTTTTATATCACGTAATGTTCCTCCAGCATCACAGCCACAGTCATGACTGTGAGTGCTGGAGCTATACCTCGTGAGAAATACCAACATCAGTTTCAGCAGCACATAGGCTTTCCAGTCAATTTTATGTTTTCTGCTTAAAGGAACAACTCTGACAAGTTTCATAAAACAAGTCCTTTTCCTTAGTTCATATTACCAGACCAGTGGCAACGGGAAACTGGAATTCAGTGAGTTCAAAGCTTTCTGGGAAAAAATGAAGAACTGCATAGTAGGTGACATTATTCATTGTAATTTTCCCTGCATTTCATCAGCTACTTCCTTAATAGTTTATTTGGTATGTGCAGACAAAAATGGAGAAAGGAGTATCTTCAAGCCATTAATTTTAACACAAAACAAATGTTTTAAAAGCATGGGGTTTGTTTTGGATAGTCAAAGACATCCTTAGCTTTCCATGATGCTAAACCATAATGGTTTTCTGGAAATAACAGAGATTTTTGTAAGTAAATCAACTACGTTTGGAATAAAGAATGCAATGGACACCAATAAGCAAGCCAATCAAAATGAAATTTAAGGAGTTTACATTACTGCTGTTGTACAGAAGATGATTCATGACTAGTGGAAAACAAGAATTTCCTAAGTCATTGCATTTTCATTACTGACTCTCAGGAGTCAACTGTACTGAAGTCTGGGAAAGCGTTGATTCTATTTTTAAACACATTTCCCGGGCACATTATATGGCAGTAAGAACAAGCAGGCTTGCAGAATCAATCACAGACTGAATATTCAAATAAAAGACATTATAATTGTTTCCTTATGGCCATTAATAGGTTTTTCTGAATTCATGCTTCAGCAAAGCATTCAGAATATGCAGCTCTGCTGCTTGTCTGGCCCATCAGAAATGGCCAACCCTTTTTCTGGGTATTAATGCCACTTCTCTTTTAACAAAGGACTGTGAAAGGCAGGCTAAGCTGAGAAGGGTCACGTAGACATTTTACAGCTTGGTGAGATGAAGGAATGCAGGTGTAGTGCTCAGATAGAATAGTTGCTGAAATTGTGTGAACCATCCTTCTGAGCCTATGGGAAAGCTATGCAAGGATATCATGTTTTTAAGCTGCTGGAAACTCCCTATGAGGTATTTGTGTAGTTAGCTGTCTCAGTTTTGAGACAATGTTTTCAGAGAAAAACGCTACAGAGAAACGTTTCCTCTGAAATGAAAATAAATTTGATAATTTTTTTCCCACCAACAAGAAATAGATACTGGGCAAAAAGTGAAGAGAAAAAAGGTAGTTTATTAGCAAAACACAGTGCCCACAGGACACAGATAAAGAGTAACCGTTAGATCACAGGACACAGATAAAAAGCAACCATTAGATATTCAAAAAGCCGAGGAGCACAGCTGCCCCCTCCGGCTCCCCACGTGGCACAGACAAAAATGGCGACTCCCGTCCCCGGGAAAAGAAATGAAAAGAAAAAAAAACCCACACGGCCATTCCCGTAACAGTGGCAAAAGAAAACCCAAAAACCTGTACCACAGTCCTTTCTTCCCTGTGGACGGATCAGAGGGCTCGGTGTGTTTCTGCTGCCAGCCCGGTTTGCTTCCGGAATCCCGGACGAGATGAAGCCGCGCGGCCCGTCTCCTGGCCGGATTGCTCCGGGAGCAGAATCGCAGGAGACGCAGAGGGGGTCTGTCCGAGGAAAAGCCGCCAAAGCTAACAAAACCGAGCCAGCTGAAACTGCAACACTGTAACTACGCTGCCCTCCGTGACAAAAAGGACTCCCACGGCGAGAAGCAGAGCGAGAGCCGAGCTCAAAAGCCCCAGCTGCGTGGCAGTGCCGGCTTTTTAAACTGCCCGCACTGCCTTCCCAGCAGCCCCTGCTCTTTCTTCCGCATTACATTTAAAAGTACAAACACCTTTTGGGCGTACATGCCAACAGAAAAGGAATACAGAACAGAATTGGCACAAATATCAACCCAAGACATTCCACCCCTTATTCCATATCCGTTGGCTTTTATGCCCAAATGAATACATTCTAACTCTAAAAACACACATATATATATACATATATACATATATACATATATACAAAGTAGTGACATCCAGCAAACATTAATAATAGTCATCCCAACATTACAAGCGGTTTTCACCCAAAATCAAATCCCCCTGAGGAACGCAAYGAGTTTCTCCGTCCTCCTGCATTATCCACCATGTACAACCTGGCCCCTGAGCAAAAGCAACCCCACGGATGGGTTTGTCTTTGCTCGAGGCAGAATTAATCCAGACATTCTTTCCTAACAGAGCTTTGAGATGTACTGCTGGGACCCTGTCTCCATCTACTGTATGCAGAGGTTCAGATTGGGCAGGGCCTCCTTGGTTGGTAGAGCCTCTGGTGTTCACCATCCAGGTAGCCTTTGCTAGGTGTCGTTCCCAGTTTTTTAAAGTACCTCTGCCCGGTGCCTTCAAAGTGGTTTTTAAGAGTCAGTTGCACCGTTCCACTTTGCCAGCAGCAGGTGCATGGTAAGGGATATGGTACACCCACTCAATGCCATGTTCCCTAGCCCAGGTGTTTATAAGGCTGTTCTTGAAATGAGTCCCGTTGTCAGACTCAATTCTGTCTGGGGTACAATGCCTCCAAAGGACCTGTGTTTCAAGGCCCAGGATGGTGCTACGGGCAGTGGCATGAGGTACAGGGTAGGTCTCTAACCATCCACTGGTGGCTTCTACCATTGCGAGTACATAGTGCTCGCCATGACGGGACTGGGGGCAGTGTGATGTAATCTAYCTGCCAGGCCTCTCCGTACTTGTACTTGTCCCATCTTCCCCCATACCACAGGGGCTTCACCCGTTTGGCCTGCTTGATGGCAGCGCATGTCTCACAGTTATGGATAACCTGGGAGATACTATCCATGGTTAGATCCACCCCTCAGTCTCTGCCCTGGTGGCCTGAGGCGCCATGGGCCCATTGAGCTAGGAATAACTCACCCTTGTGTTGCCAGTCCAGGTCAGTCTGGGACACCTCTATCTTTGCAGCCCGATCTACCTGCTCGTTGTTTCGGTGCTCCTCATTAGCCCGGCTCTTGGGGACATGGGCATCTACATGGCGGACTTTCACGGGTAACTTCTGCACCCGGGCAGCAATGTCTTTCCACTCTTCAGCAGCCCAGACTGGTTTTCCTCTACGCAGCCAATTGGCCTTTTTCCGTCTGTCCAGCCATCCCCACAGGGCATTGGCCACCATCCATGAATTGGTGTAAAGGTAGAGCTTTGGCCACTTTTCCCTCTCAGCAATGTCCAAGGCCAGCTGGATGGCTTTGAGTTCGGCAAATTGACTCGATCCACCTTCTCCTTCTGTGGCCTGTGCAACCTGTCGTGTGGGGCTCCATTTGGCTGCTTTCCACTTCCGGTTCATCCCTACAATCTGACAGGAGCTGTCAGTGAAGACAGCATAGCGTTTATCCTCTGCTGGCAGTTGGTTGTATAGTGGAGCTTCCTCAGCCCGGGTCACTTGTTCTTGTTCCTCTTCATCAGCAAGACCAAAGTCTTCACCTTCMGGCCAATTTGTAATTATTTCCAGGATCCCAGGGCGATTCAGRTTTCCTATACGGGCGCGCTGAGTAATGAGAGCAATCCATTTGCTCCACGTAGCATAGGTGGCGTGGTGGGTAGAGGGGACCTTTGCTTTGAACATCCACCCCAGCACTGGTAATCGGGGTGCCAGGAAGAGTTGGGCTTCAGTCCCAATCACTTCTGAAGCAGCTTGGACTCCCTCATAGGCTGCCAARATCTCCTTCTCTGTTGGGGTGTAGTTGGCCTCAGACCCTCGGTAGCTTCGGCTCCAGAATCCCAGTGGCCAGCCTCAAGTCTCACCAGGCACCTTCTGCCAAAGGCTCCAAGACAGACCATTGCTCCCAGCTGCAGAGTAGAGCACGTTCTTCTCTTCTGGTCCTGTCCTGACTGGGCCGAGAGCTACTGCATGAGCGATTTCTTGCTTGATTTGGGCGAAGGCTTGTTGCTGTTCAGGGCCCCAGTGGAAATCATTCTTCTTCCGGATCACCAGGTAGASAGGGCTCACGATCTGGCTGTATTCGGGGATGTGCATCCTCCAAAAGCCAATGGCACCCAAGAAAGCCTGTGTCTCCTTTTTGCTGGTCAGTTGAGACATTGACGTGATCTTATTGATGACCTCTGTAGGGATCTGACGCCGTCCATCTTGCCACTTTACCCCAAGGAACTGGATCTCTCGAGCAGGTCCCTTCACTTTGTTCCTTTTYATAGCAAAGCCGGCTTTCAGGAGAGTCTGGATGATCTTCTCCCCTTTCTCAAATACTTCTGCTGCTGTATTCCCCCACACAATGATGTCATCAATATACTGAAGATGTTCCAGAGCCTCACCCTTTTCTAGCGCAGCCTGGATCTGCCCATGGCAGATGGTAGGGCTGTGCTTCCACCCCTGGGACAGCCGATTCCAGGTGTACTGCACACCCCTCCAGGTGAAAGCAAACTGAGGCCTGCACTCTGCCGCCAGAGGAATGGAGAAGAAGGCATTGGCGATGTCAATGGTGGCGTACCACTTCGCTGCTTTGGACTCCAGCTTGTACTGGAGCTCCAGCATGTCCGGCACGGCAGCACTCAGCAGTGGGGTCACTTCATTTACGCCACGATAGTCCACAGTCAATGTCCATTCTCCTTTAGATTTGCATACAGGCCAGATGGGGCTGTTGAAGGATGAGTGGGCCTTGCTGACCACCCCTTGGCTCTCCAGCTCACAGATCATCTTATGGATAGGAATCACAGCATCTCGGTTCATTCTGTACTGTCGGCGGTGCACTGTTGATGTTGCAACTGGAACATGCTCGTCTTCCACCTTGAGGAGTCCAGCTGCAGGATTTTTGGACAGCCCAGGCAAGGCGTTTAATTGCTTGATGCCCTCTGTCTCTATAGCAGCTATTCCAAAAGCCCACTTGAATCCCTTGGGGGTCTTTGAAATACCCACTTTGGAGGAAGTCTATTCCCAGGATGCATGGGGCCTCTGGACCAGTTAAAATGGGATGCTTCCTCCACTCCTTTCCAGTCAGGCTCACCTCAGCTTCCACCAGAGTCAGGTCTTGTGATCCTCCTGTCACACCAGCAATAGAAACAGATTCTGTCCCAACATGTCGTGAAGGAATGAGTGTGCACTGCGCACCAGTGTCAACCAAAGCCTGATATTTCTGTGGTTCTGCTGTGCCAGGCCAACGAATCCACACAGTCCAAAWGGCACGGTTCTCCC